ACATTTGATGGACAGATGAATGAACAAAGTAGTGATACCTTCTACTTTCTCTATGTTGTTTTTCTTGACTGAAGTTTCTAATGGTATTTATTTCAAATGAACCATATCAAGGATCATTTGATAAGAAAATACCAGAATTCAGATCACCTCGAATACCGTACTCTTATTTTTTTACATTTAAGCCAGGGGTCAGTGAGCTATGGCCTGTGAGCCAAATATAGCCTGCTGTCAGTTTTTGGTTGGCCAATCCGCAAGAGTGATTTTTACCTTTTGAAATAGTTGAAAAATATCATATTTTTTGTGACATGTGGAAATTATATGAAATTTAATTTCAGTGACCATAAAAATAAAGATTATTTTGCAAAACAGCCATGCCAATTTATTTATGTATTATCCATGGCTGCTTTAGCCCTGTAACAGCAGAGTTGAGTAGTTTCAACAGGGACCAATGGTCCTCAAAGCCTAAAATCTATACTTTTTGGCCCTTTTCAGGAAAGTTTTCCAACCCCTGATTTAAGCTGTTAGTTTACTATAAAATTAGTACACACATGACAAAACATTCAGAGTACAGCCAAAGCACTTTAGCATTGTATTCAGGGAGTATAATGATATGATCAGACTTTATAATTTTGTTAGTGTGATGGATGAATATTCTACCTCTGTGGTTTTTTTTCTCTCCGTGTTATTTATTTTTAAATTTTAAAAATTAATTATTTTCGTTTTTGGTGGCTGGCCAGTCTGGGGATCCAAACCCGTGACCTTGGGGTTAAAAGGCGGTGCTCTAACCAACTGAGCTAACCGGCCAGCCACTCTCCACGTTATTTTTTAATTTTTTTAATTTTTTGTCCTTTTTGAGACCGGCCGCACCGCGCTCAGCCAGTGAGCACTGTGAGCGCACCAGTCATCCCCATATAGGATCCGAACCCGCGGCGGGAGCACTGCTGCACTCCCAGCGCTGCACTCTCTCGAGTGCGCCACAGGCTCGGCCCTCTCCACGTTATTTTAATATTCATTTCCCTGATTGCCAGTGAGGTTGAGCCTTTTTTCGTGTGTGTGTGTGTGTGTGTGTGTGTGTGTGTGTGT